GTCTGCCACTGCCTTCAGATGGCCTTTTAAGTTTAATAAGCTACTCTTTTTTTGTTATGCTTCAATTTCTTAGTATCGTTAATCTATTGTTTAAGGGATAAATAATACTTAAGATACTAAAAAAGCGTTTCTTATTATTCATCAATCTTGTTGAACCTCTCCATCTTTCAGTGAAGAGAAAAACTGAAAGCTTTTCTTCTTCTTATTCAACTAAACGTTTTGCAGTTACAACTTCAAATTGTTTAAAGGCAAAGCTCATTACAAAAAAATAAGGCAATTTCAGACAGTATTTCCAACCGATTTTTTCCGTCGAAAACTTCAAACCGAATTCAAACGGAATTCGGACCAATTTCCCACGGCCAAAAACCGTCAGAAATCGATGGGAATTTTCTGACGGATTTTAAAACCATCGGAAATTTGTTGGAAAAATAGTCTGAATTCTGTGAGAATTTTAATCCCTCGGTAATCAGAAAGAAAAACATAGCAAATATACCCACGAATCATATTCCTTAAGCAATCAGTAGGAAAATTTCCCACGGATTTCCTAGAGAATGTAGTTTAGAGTTACAAAATTTAGTCATAATATTCAAAAGGCTAATCCTACAAGATAAGTTATATATAATTATATATAAAATATAGTTGATCAAATAAAATGATAAACAAGTTGCTTTCATTCTAGAATGTCATAACGTCTATAGAAGAGTTTTACACTTCTAGTTTAAGTTATAGTATACATCACTTGAGTTATTTTCGTTTCTGCATATATGTTTTGTACATTACACATAAATTAAATTAAAACATGTTTTAGTTGGGTGATGATATTATTCTTTCAGTATAATGTATCTTGACATTGTTTACATCCATTTTGCATACCCTATACCTTAATTCCATATAAATATGTGGAAATTTTCCAACGGCTTAATATTAAAAAAAAACATAATTGCCATGGGAAATTCGTCAAAATTTTCCCACGGATTTTCGACCGATTTTGAATTTTGGATTTTGACCGCCAAATTTTTTTTAATGAATTTCAATTTCACGGTAAATTTTAGAAGTTATACGGATTTCCGACGGATTTCATTTCCAACGGCATTTTCTATTGAAAATCCATAGGAAAATCTCAATAAATTATACAAATCATATCTTTTCTCCTCCATTCTCAAAATTTACTATCTCTCTCTAAACGTTTCTCTTCCACATTCTCTCTAGATTTTTCCAAAAATATTTAAGTTTTCTTGTGTTTGATTAAGTAAATTATTTGTTTCATATATATAACTTGATATATTATAGATTTATGAACGTAATTTTGTTAGATTCGGGGGTTTAGATTGGGTAATGGTAAATTTGGGTTATAATATTAGTGATGAATTTAGTGTTAGATTGTTGTTTTATATTAAAAGTTCATTAGGAATTTTTTTTTAATATTATAAAATAGTTTTGTGTATACTAATCACGTTTTTATGTATGAAAAACGTGAGTTTGGATTATTAACTAAATTATTTGTTTCATATATATAACTTTATATATTATAGGTTTATGAATGTGATTCTGTTAGATTAGGTATTTTAGATAAGGTAATGGTGAATTTGGGTTGTAAAGTTGTGTGATTTGTTGTGATTTAGTACTGGATGGTTGTTTAGATTACAAATTCATTAGAATCTTTTTCTTTTATTATAAAAATGATTTTGTGTATACTAATTGTAACACCTCCGATCAGCGGTAGAAATCGGCCGGCCGAGAATATCACGACCAACGCTCGGAAACGGTATGACCTAGTTACAAAAACAAATTAAGTGGCCCAGGACCAACTATTCGAGAGCGTTCTTTCCATCCAAAATGATCCACGGCTTCTCAACCTCAATCAATTTAGATGATTCGTTCGGTCCGGACTAGATCCAGAATCATTATTACTTGATAATTCTTTCGTAAAACACTTAGTTTATACTTAGCTTATTTTTAAGAGAAACCCGTTTCTAAGCCTTATACGTATTTTCGGATCCGAAGTTAA